GTTTTTAAATTTTTGTGCAATGTATAGACCCAGGTTGTTTGTAATGTATCATTCGTAATTTAGCTGCAAAGCTACAATGATGATATTTTGAAATAAAACTTAAACTAGTAATTATTATCTCTTATCATAATCTACTACAGTATTATTAATATAATCTCTATTACTATCTATTATTATCTCTATTATTATCTATTATTATCTCTATCATAAGGGCACAGGTATGTTTTCTAAGGTAAATCTTATACTGGGACTTAGAGTTTGAATAGTAAGAAAAAAAATTTGACAAGTTTCGAGCCAACGACGATTTAAATACAAGCCTATATCTGCCAAGTATAATTAATGCTTTGATTAAGGTTTGCAGTAAACTTGCATATAACATGTGCTAGAATATTATAATTAATATTGGGTATCCGATACATAATGTCAATTACTACCATTAGTTTAAAAGGCGTAACATTTTTTTTGCACAATTTCTCCCCAAAGTCTGTTTAAAGCTATTTTTGAATAATTTAAGCAAATCATGGAAGCCTTCAAAATGATCAAGGTGTAATCTACTGTAATCACTACAAGGATTGATTATTTTTTTCTAATCATCTGCTTTTATTAAAAGAAGTTTAAGCTTTATTTAGGATATGAATATAATATGAAAATAGTTAACTGTAAAAATGTTAATAATGATCTTTTTCTGCATTTAAACATTTATGCAATAATAGGAAAAAAATGATGTTATGACATAAACAGAACAAAAATAAAAATACTCTTCCTTAATAAAAGAGAAAATTATTTGAAATTTTAGCAAAATATTTAGGTAGAGTAATCGAGTACAGAAAAAGACATCAATACAGTAAAAGTAGCATGCTACAGTACAGGAAAAAATTGCACTGTTGTGTATTTACTGAAGCATACAGACTGCAAATACAATAACTTGAGGATAGGTGTTAGTATGCAATATGAAGAGTATGTACTGCAAAAACCTATCCATACTACATCAGTGTACATGTAATACACAACCTATCCATACCGATGTATATTCTCGTAGTTTCATGCCACCGCATTCACGCCACAAGATAGATAGGTAGCATGGTCAAACTCATATCTACCTATGACCATCGGATTACTTAGCATGTATATCTTAAATTATAAGTTTTCGTAATATTGCTACAACTGAATAAAAAGCAAATAAATATCATCACCCTGGTACCTAAACTGAGGTAATCAATTTATAAAAATAAACACAAAAATAATCATAAAAATTAAAAATATATTTTGTGCAAAAAGCAACAGTGCTGCAGATGTGCAGGGTTTGGCAGCGGATATATAATTATATATATTTATATAATAATAATAGTTATATAAATATGTTAAATATTTAATTTCTTGTTAATCTAGATCTTGAGTTTTATAAATCGCCATTCGGTAGCTATAGCGATCTGAGAGACTTCTATATACCTTAGTATTCGGTGCTCGCCTCTGTACGTCATCTGCCTGCGACATGGAGTGAGAGGTGGGTTTCTTCAACGACACGGAGGATGTTATCGGGGAGGGGGTACTTGAGGCAGAGGCATGCATGGAAAGGAGAGGGTTGCCGACATTCGACTGCAGCAGGTAAACATACGTCTTAAATCTGGTCATCTGAAAAATGTAGAGTAAAAGAACGTTTGTGAGTTTATGAGGCAAAGTTGAATGACTTCTTATAAGCCTGTCAGTATTTTTAATTAAATTCAAGAAATTCTTGAACAAGTTAAAATATTAACTTTTTGTAAGGTATTTTTGAACAGTAATTGCTTTTCACAAGTGACCAGGAAATGGTAATATCCTTGATACCAAGTTTAATATGTGATTTACAAGTTAAATATTAAGCAATATAATTTATTTTAAAACATTTAAGACCGGTGGCACTCTCAAACATTGTGTTGTATTCATAAGTAACAAAGGGTATATTGAGAAAAAATTGTCTTATACACATGCCAAGTGTATATTAATGATCTGGTACTGTAGTTCAGTTTGTACAGTAACTAAAGAGAAATTGCATTATTATCCCAAGTCCTCTTTAAAAAGTCTATTTAAAATAGTGAGGAAACCATTAGAATAAAAGTATAGCAAAAATTACTGGATGAATGAGTGCAAGAACAAAATGAGGCCTACCTCATACTCTAAATACTCCCTTTTATCATCCCAGTCCTTAAGTACAGCTGCTCGAGCGCTTTTATCAGGAGGGTAACTACGATGCTCCTCTAGTTCATGTTCCAACTCAGCAACCTTGGTCTCATGATTTTGAAGTTGCTCTGCCTAAAAAATGTTATAGACATTGATAATCATGAGTGTATTGCAGTTAAGAATCGTGAGTGTGTTTGTATACACAGACATATGAGGCATGACATCCCAAAATGTTAAGCTAAGTAATTAGCATAAGAAAGTGGCAGTATTGTAGACTTTGGTACAGAGAAGCTGCAATAGTTTTCATTTTTGTTCACTGATGCTGCATTTGAGATGGTAAGCCTCATATTTGGATGAGTTTTGATGTATATAACCTCTTCAGGGTTCAGATGCATCCAACTTCTCTGCTTTAAATTACTGGCTAACAAGGTGGTAATGTGCTTGGTGATCCTGCATCTGGTCTAAGCAGGTTTGGTAGGTTTATGTTCATGGTAAATATTTTGGATGTTGTGTTGGTTTTTATTGTGTGAACGACTGATCATCATCGCGTATATCAATTCAATAGAAACAAGGCTTCAGGCTAACAAATCATTTTACAAGGTGATTATTATTACAGTATTATTGTTACTATCCAATGGTAAGGGTTATAGTCAGAAGCCCTTTTTAAAAAAAATTGTGGAAAGTGCGATACAAATATCATCTTTATCAAATATCCAAATGCTAAGGCATCTGTTGTGAACTGTGACCTACTCTGCTGAGCTTGGAAGAGGAGGATGGAAGAAGGGGGCGAGTGAAGCGTCTCATAGACCCGCAGCCCGCTGGTAGCGGTGGAGTGGATAAAGTTGCCGCTGCTATGTTGAAGGCTTGCATCCACAACTGCACTTCATTAGCATCCCTGAAAGAACAGTGAAATAATTAGTTTACTTGACACTGAGAGATACAACACTACCAATCAAAATAAGAGAAAGTGCAGGACACTCAGTTTCGAAAGATCAGATATAATATGCATTAATGCAGGTTCACATGGAATCTATTACCGTATATATTTGCATATCAGTCGACCCTCATATAAAACAACACCAGAGTTTGAGAAGATCTTTTGACGATTTTTATATGTTTCACTGTCAGAATTCTTACTTTTTGCTGTTCTTTATGATCTTAATACTGCATCTAGCCGGCTAAAAACGGAGCCAAATGCAGGGCTAATCTTTCAAATACCATTTTACGAGAATTGAAATGTTCATTAAAATGTTATTTCCCCGTATTTCAAATTACGTTCCTTCATACTAACATTTTAGTAGATTAAATGCAGTAGTAAATTAACATGTTACGGACGATCCGCACAAAAGAAAAACATGATTAAAAAAATCTAAAATTTGTATGTTGCGCATATAAGACGACCTCCTGTGTTTCGATCATAATTTGCTATTTTAAGCCTTGTCTTATACGCCAGTATATACAGTAATTGATAATATGTAGTACATAATGTGTTTAATCAAAGCAGGTTCCTGATAATGTTGATGGTACTTACGAACACTGTGTGAGATATTCGCTCCAATCAGAATGTCTTACTCGGAATACATTCGTTCTTTTACTATATTCTGTATCCTTGGTTGCTAAGCAATGATGCAGGCTATGTGACTCCTTAGGTTTGTGGAAATTTAGTTGGGATGCAATGTCCGACTAAATAAAATAAATATTTGACTTTTGACGAAATAGATCAAAACATATCAAATGAGAGAAATATATACAAAAATAAAAAAAACAAACGGTTTAACAATAGTATGTGATATTTACAATCATCTTTGCAGTATATCATACTAAACAATTATATAGAATACTTACATATTTTATAATACCATTAATTATTATTACACATAGTATTAATCACTACATAAAAGCACTGTATAGAAGCTACAATTAAGAAATACAATACGCAGGTAAAAATGAATGCTTAAACCATACTATTTATCCTAAAATAAGAGCATGGTTTACCAAATTATTTTTAAGTATTTGTGATAAAAATGAAAAAGTTTATGAAATAATTATTTCTTCAAAAGTTGAATGAAAAGTTTGTAATTGTTAGAAAAAAAAAGCACTTCATTTATGCTAGAATATTTTGCAGGCATGTTACAGAAACTTGAGTACTCGTTTCTGAGGCCTGGCTTACAACTAGGGCATGATCGTATTTTAGATTACATTTCAGTTCAAATTTGCAGCAGATAATTATTAGCTATTAGATGAGAGTAACTTAAATTAATGTATTCATCTAATTATTAGGAAAATGTTGCACAATATAAAAAAATGCAATTTTGATGAAATAATTTTATAAAAAATGAATTATTATTATAATCATTAACATTATGATACTCAATATTAAAAAAAATAGATAAAAAAATGCAATTTTGATGAAAAATGTGTATAAAAAATAAATTGTGATAATAATTAAAATCAGGGTTATTTTGATGAAATTTTATATTATAAAAAAATAATTTGAAGACTGACACGAAGAATTTTGATATTAAATTGCAAAAGGGAAAAATTAAGGATTTTATGCTTATTCAAGCATGCGACAAGTCAATATAAGTACTATGAAGGAAAACTAAAGAGGGCAGGCTTTAAAATGGCAGTTTCTCAATTCTCGGTGTCACGTCATCTAGCGCTGACAGGAAGCGGAGTTGGATTTGTTGTAACTCTAAACTAAAGATTTAAGAATAGATATAATAACTGTAAGTCTATACTAGACCTAGGAATAAGACAAAACATTATAAGCTAATAGTACTGTATAGTAGGTTGACTACTAGGTTCATTTGCACTACTACTACTACTACTACGGACTTAAACCCACTATTAAGAGTAAGCGTAACTAATAGTCTGAAGTTCTGTAGAAACCATAGAAGTTATAGTACGTAGACCTTGATTTTACCAGAAAAATCATTACTTACCATAAAATCAACAATAACTGTATTGCTTTGATACTTGTCTCAAAGGCTCATTTATATAACAACATATTCTATACTTATATTATTAATTCAATCTCTTAGTTGATGTTTTGAGAGTTTTCTAGATTTTTCACCATAGACAGTACATCTACATCAAACAAAATCTACATATATTTGTAGTTGGTGAAGGGAACAATCCAAAAATAGTTCTAAGACCTTCTACAAAGTAGCTATTACGTTAAAAAGACCAAAGGCTTTGCATCCCCACCGCAGGATGAGGTACTTTACAGTAAAGTCCTAAGGACATAATTATGGCAGGAGTATCTCGCTACATTTTGTTAACCAGAGTAAAAGCGAGAGCAAAATTATTGACTTTTATTGATGTTAATAGCATTTTTTAACTGATGATGTCGAAAATGGTTGGACACTACGCCATTAGCAGCGTAATTAAGATTTGGAAGTCCTCACATTAGTAATGGTGGCTCATTAAGAAATCTGCTTCAGGACTGCTTTAATTCCTTTCATGACAACAATACTATGAGACAAAAAATCGAAACCCGACGACCATTACACTTATAGATTTTATAGCATTGGCTGATTTTAAGTAATTCTGTATAAAAGTAACAAATATATATAAATATATTAATATTAATAATTAAGACAAGGTAAATCATTTTTGACAGGTGTCATTCCGTGTTAACAAGTATTTGATTAAACAAAAATGTTTTGTTAGATTTAAAATTTATTATTTACTAGAGCAAAAAAGCATGGCAGTTTGCAGAACTGAATTGAGAAACAGGAAATCATTCTAAATATTCATTCAAATTGCTATTGTGATAATTAGGGGTGACGCCAGGATTTGCCCGACAGGAGGGGGAGGGGCGTGGTCGAGCTTCAATTAAAAGGTTTTGGGGCCTTGTGGCCTTGGGGGCGAATTTTGACAATTTAGGGGTTTCAAAGGCTTATATAATTGATTTTATAGTCTACTAATATGTAGAAAATACATATAATTTTTTTTCCTCCCCGACGAATTGTGCATTTTCACATCATGACCATCATACATAGGCACATTGTGTCTATATATCGCAGAAAATCAGTGATAGCTTTAGAGCTTTAAAACTATTACAGAAGTGACAGTATGTAAACATGGGTGTGGGAAAAGTATGTATTGGTGGCCCTATTCTGACTGGTAAGTTGATTAAGTTTGATTTACATTCCAGAAGGAACATTAAAGCATAGTTTAATAAATAGCGATATATGAATGCCCCTCAACAAGAATCCCCAAGAAGGACTGGAACCCAAATGGCAAAGGACATGTTGGAAGATTTAAGAATCGGAGACAGGATGGGACAGAAAATATTATTGAAAGGTCAAGGGTCAAGGGTGCAAGGTGAAGGGTGGACCAAAAAATAGCAGATGACCTATGTAGAGATAAAGCTGTCGACACTATCACATTTTATGTGACAAATTTATGTTATGTGCCTATATATGGGCATATCACAGTTTTTTTGTTGCATACAATTTGATAGTACTGTATAGACAAAGCTTAAATCTGCTAGGATGGATGTTAAAAGGATTTTCAACTGACAGACAATATGGGGATGAGAAGTATGTCAAAATGGCTATTTACACTTTTAAGAAAAGGCACATATTTCTTATTTGCAAAGCATTTCTATATTTTCAGCCGAATAAACAAACAAAAGTGCACCACATTAAAGCAGGGAAATTAAAAAAAATGAAGTTAAAATGGTAAAAAAAATGATAAACTACCGTGGAGAGGAAAAGAGCACAAATTATTACAATTGAATACCAAATGAAAAAAATGTCATAACTTTGTTAAATGGTTTTCGATTTTGAAAAACAATGTCACATGCTATTCATTATGAGAGTCATGAGTTGATTTATAACTAAAATTTGCAATAACCATATCAATAAATATATACATTGAGGACAATATTAATTAAATTATTGGATATCACATGGCTGTGTGACACATTACTGTTGCTCTTGAGTTAAAAATCCTCTTACGATGTGGTTTCAAATTTCAAATTTAAAAAAAAATAAATTAAACATTTTTTCTGTTTTGAATTCATATCATATAAATAAATTGTTTGTGCTTCTCATGAATTATATTGAATTATTTATTCAAAAATAGTACTATCATTATAGATAGTCAAAATTAATAATAGTTAACTCATTAAACATATTTGAGAAGGGGTAATAAAATATTACAGTTTTAAATAAATGTAATTTTATCATGTTATTGATATTTATAGGCTTATCCTATTTATATGGTTTGGTTTTATATGGTTTTCTGGATTTTTAGCTCCGATGAGGAGCTCTAGAAACACTTGGCTGATTGATTAATAGATCTTTTTTATCTCTACTGCCTATATTATACTGCCTTCATGAGGAGTTCTAGAAACACCCAACTGATTAATGGATCTACTTGAGATCCATTGCCTCTATTTTACTATCCTCATGAGGCTGATTAATTAATAGTTGATTTCGATACTTGGAGTATTTATTATACTATCTTATTTGATTGATTAATAGTTGTTTGATTAATAGATTTTTTTGTAGCTCCACTGCCTCTATTATACTGACCTCATTGGAACTTTCGAGATTATGAGAACTTGTTAACTAATAAAATAATATAATATTTCAAGCTTAGAGACTACAGTATGACTTCAACCTGAAATGAAGAACTATGATTATAACTACAGTAATCATGTATACTTTAAAGTGATGTACCATTTAACAATGAGTGACTAAATTGCAAAGAAAACCACAGTATTAGTTGCAAATGCGGCAGATAATTGTGCATATTTGAAAGGCCATTGTTAGACAAATAGTGGAAGACAACAAAGAAATAGTTTTTTTTGAAGATGAGACGTTCTTACACGATCCGTTGCATTGCTGCTATCACCTTTTTGTTCTGCTAGTGTTTCCTCCACACTAAAATCCTATAGAGATTGAATATGACCTGTCTATTGTTAATGGCTTTTTGGAAGATTATGGGAAAAGAATTGAGGTATATGGTTATTATTTTGAGCTGCATCTGCGTGGCAAGATGTATTTCTTCCGTGCAGTTTATCTGTGTGTGATTTTTATTACTGTTATTATGACGAGCGTCCTATCCAAAGGAGTAGCATACTCTCATTTCCTTTGCGCTAAAAAACTGGGCCTAGACTCCACCCTTTAGAATTTTAGAAAAATTTACTTTTTTTTAAATCAACTGTTAAATCAACTCTTAATGAGACAGAAGAGTTGGATCAGTTTGACTTAGTGAAGCATAGCATTGCAATTTATCAAATACAGCTTTTTAAAAAAACATAAAACGATGTCTTGCTTATTCCATGAGGTTATGCAGTCTTGCTTATTCCATGAGGTTAGGCACTGAATTGGCTGCATCACAAACTATTCATGGTGACAGTGACTTCATTTCAAGATGTTGGGCTTGTATTTTTGCATGTTGGCCTGTTGTCATGCTTACTGAAAGTTTACGAGCATTTCCAAGTAATCTTTTCAGTGCAGTGTTTGGAAAACAACTTTCAAATGTAATCCAACACTGTCCACTGCTAGTGCAATAAGTTATAATAGAAATTTTTATCTTAAGCAAAATATTTTCTCATCTTAAATTCAAGACATGATTTTAGAAAATATGTTTGAAATGTATGAGCGAGAAATTTGACTTAAGAAAAAGCATGGATTTAAAGCAAAGAAAAGAAGATTTTTATTATTTTCCAAACAAGTTTGATAAATCCAGAAGACATAAGTATTTAAGGTACACAACTTATCCTTTTTATTTGTATATATTATATCGTTTTAATTATGTCTTTTCTGTTTTGTTTTAGAATTGCCTCAAGGAGGATAAAAAATTGATTGATTAATAATTGAATTATTCATAGCTTGATTGATTGATGACTACAATGATATCATCATTAAGGAATTGAATTATCATTTGATATAACGAGCAGAGTACTAAATGTTATGGTATAAAACGTTGTTTAAATATATCTTATCAGGAAAGCTGGGACTACTTTCAGATGAGAAGGCAAGTATTGTAATAACCCTACAGTATCCCCCATGCAGATTTCCTATCCAAGGTAAACTACATCTTCTATCGTTCTGCCTATAGGAGAATCTGTAAATTACTTCATTAAACCTATTTCCAAACTTCAATTTTCTTTTTTATCCGCTACACCCAACCATTAATATTCTATTTCATAAAGCAGAAACACCCTTTTATAATTACAACACTGTTTAATAAATACTTCAATAATATTAAATTACTAAATTCATTACAATAATATACAAAGAGTACATGCTATCAGGTGAAGAGAAGAAGATTAATACCCAATTCACTTGAGACAAACTTTACACGAGATTTGCTAGAGGAAATATAGCTTTCTTCCTTGCTGCATTGCATCCATAAACATTTGCATTTGTGTCAGGTTAGCCTGCATTTCGTGAAAAAAAAGTCAGTTAAGAGGAGTGTGACACTCCTAACATATTTAGCGTGGATCTTTGAGCATGCTCACAAGGCGTCACATGTATCTTTAACGTTTGCATGCCAATTGGTTCAAATGTCAGCAAGAATAAAGTTCAAATGTTGTGAAGAAAATGACGATTTTAGTAGAAATATCTTGGGAAGTTTTTGTTACATTTAGCACGCATCCCATATAACGTTTTGTCTCTTGTGAAGTGAGTATTATTCAAAATTGTGCAGCAGTGGTGAACACCAATTTTCAATAAATGATATTTAAGTTGATGAAGATAAATCTATCATTGATATGTATAGTGGATACAAATCCAAGAATTTTAGATTACCAATCTGTTGCTTTATCAATTAAGCTGTGATGCCTAGCTGGTGTTCTCCCATGGATTGGATGGAAAAATGTAATCTTAAATATTCTACCCAAGGCCTAGCTGGTGTTCTCCCTTGGATTGGATGGGAAAATTTAATCTTTAATATCCTACTCACTGGGTGTGTTCTCATATAAAAATTTGATTTTTTTCCCCCTGGATTTTGGGTTCCAATATCAGCTGAATACAACTGTATTTATTATTACCAAATACATATAAGGTGAAAAGGATCATGGGATGAACTAAAGATGGGTAAGACATATCACATGATAGAAACATGGAGCTTAATTATTTGTGCGTATGATTATTATGATGATATATTCTGAATTGACTATTTCATCTAAGCTTAATTAATTCTATTTTCCTGAAACCATGGCAATAGTCTGTAATTAAAGACCAACATGCAATCCAGTTAAACAGCGACAAAAACACATAAACTTAGTCCACAAATCTCACATATTTCAAGGTCATAGCAAATATAAGTTACTCAACAGCCCAAGTCTTCCCCTCTTACCTTATGCAAATACAGAATAAGACCTTTTAATACTGCATAGTACATACGCCATGACCTTTTGCCCTTTGGAGCTGTAAGACAGGAAATAATGTCACATTACAGAGTTTCAACAAGTATATTCATTTTCGATTTGGAGTTGTTTTCACATGTTTTGTGCTGAAATCTATAAAGGGCAGTGGAATGGTTGATGCTTAATTAATTCTGTAAACCTTCAAGTAACATCAGGATTATTAAGAGTAAATCAAATCAGAAGGAAAAAAACTTCAATAATGCATGACCATTATGAAATCCATATTCAAGGAATTGGTATTGAATGTATAATCTATGTGGTTAAAAAACAAAGCCCAACAACAAAATCAATTAAAACATTAGTACCCATTCTAGTCTGTATTCAGACTATAAAATTTTCTTTGACAAAAAACTGTTGTATGCTCATATATAGCCATGATGTGCCTATATATGGTCATTACGTGATGTCATCATGACCATATTTAGGCATATCACATGTTTTTGTCAAAAAGAATTTGATAGTTTGAACAGGACTTAATAATAGTTGAATATTATGAGCCACAGCTTTCCCTTCCAAGGTGTATGTAATATCATTACAAAATTAAATTGCTTATTTAAAGATGTATTGTCCTATGCTAAATACCAAAACAATCATAAAAATATTTTTTTTAAATTAACTTGCCCATTTTAAAGTAACATAAAAGTTATCAACTTGAACATAGAAATTAGTGTATTTAAAAAAATTGTCTACCCATCAGCTTACAGCGAAAAATAATAGAAACACTTCTAGTCACTGGAAGTGTTTTATTATTTTTATTATACTTTTTTGGTTTAAAAATCAGGGTACACATTTTTTAAATGATGTACCTATATATGGTCATAATGTGATGCATTCACGACCATATTAAGGCATGTCACATATATTTTATAGTTTTGACAGGGCTTAAAAAATCCAATAAAAAATAAAATATAGCTCATTGAAAAGTATTAAATAATTAATAACTTTCAATGGAATACAAATCAAAATAATTCTCTTTTCACTGATTTACTACCAAAACCCTTAAAGTGATTACTAACCAATTTAAAGTTCTCCATGCAAAAGAATTATATTAAGTCTGTATACGTCTGTTAATTTACTAAGAAATAGTTCGCTCAATTAATTTTCAATTCAAATGAAGGCTGGTAACTTACTAGGTTGAACACACAACAGTTAGCAAGATTTTTTTTTTTTGACAAAAACATGTGACATGCCTAAATATGGTCGATGACATCACATTATGACCATATATAGGCACATCATGACTATATATGGGCACACAACAGTTTTTTTGTCAAATAAAATTTGAGTGTCTGGACAGGACTTTTAAAGTGATTGAAAGTTGATTTTGAGGACACCAGAAGCCTTAGTCTAATAATTAATGTAACCTTTTATGATGAATACTTATCGTATATGATTGGCATGACCTATGCCAACGAGAGACAAACTCTCACTGACCCACGGCTTCTCATTTCCTCTTAGCAATTCTGACTTCATATGTATGTCTAAATTTCTTTTAAGAAATATCTAAATCTGGTATTAGGCAATTTATTTTTCACCAACATCATTATTTCACAGCAATACCATTATTTCAAAACTATCACATTCTTAAAATATTTACTGTTATTTGTGTAATGCTTCTATATATTTCAATGCAATTCTTAACCAATGTTTATTTTATATATTTAATTAATTTCTTTCATATTCAATAGCAACGGTATTTTAGGTTGAGGCATCCCCAAACGTGGAAATAAATTAAATACTTTTTTGTTGCACCGATTCACCACCCCTGGGCTCCACCACTGTCAGGACCTCAGGAGTGGGGTTATGTTCCAATTGTGAATCAAAATAATTATTAAAATATTATAAAATTATTATAATATTTAAAAAAGTAGGTTTTCCATTATAAATCCATATCTAGATCTAAAATTTTACAATTATATTACATATTAACTCGGACATCATAATGAAAATTATAAATATGTTGGTTGTTGGTTGGCTGGCAAATTACAGTTATTACTCATGAAGCTTATTTTCAGATTTATGCACAGTAAATAATGTATAATGATGAATACAAACGAAAACAAGGAACTGATTTTCTTATGAGGTTTAAAAAAACAACTTAAATCAATCTTAATTCCAAATGCACTTAATCTTCAGGCTAAGCATTTCTATTCATAAATGTTTATTAATGCGCGATACTCTGTTAATTCGTACAGAGTCATGAATCATGTGTGAAGCCCTTTGTAGCACATATTCAAAGGATTTAATTTGTTTATATATTAAAAGGTATAGTGACTGTGTTGAGAACAATGTATCAACTACTTATTTTATATACTTAACGACACTGCCTATGTTTAGCACAAATTTTATGATTCATTTATTTAAAACTAATACGTAAATAAAGAATACAAAAGATGATTTGAACAATAAAATTCAACATTTGGATTATTCATTTTGTATATTTAAGTTATTAGCTTTAGTGAAAAAATTATTGCTATATAAAAGATACAGAATTAAATAAAATAAATATAGACTTTCCACACTCATAGGATCGGTATCAGTAACATATAGGTTGCCACAGTATCGTCACTATATTATAAGGGCTATATTAGCATTTATGCTTCACAACAGCCCAAGAATACAGTAAAAATACAAGGGAAAAAGAGAAAATACTCTACATACACTCTTAAATTGGCTGGTACTCAATATAAGTTTTTTCATGATAAAAATTCTGTAAACCACCAAAGCCACTTTGAAAATATGACAAATATGTGTGATTTGCCCATATATGGACATAATGAAATGATGTCAATTTGTACTATGGGGCAAAAACACTGATATTTGTCACATTAAACTTGACAGTTTGGCCAGAGATTTAGTCGCAGACTTACTCTTCTTGCCATCAACTTCTTTGATATTTTTACGCATGATGTACCCTTGCATAAACACCGGAGCATTTGGATCGCTCTGAAGCTAAACATAAAAAAAAAAAAAAAGATGATGTATTTTTATAGTAATCCAACACTTATTAAGTATTGTTATATCCATATCACATCCATATATGGGTATTATGATTTTATATCATATCCATATATAGACATAGGTATATCATATCTAACCACCTCTTCTAGGCTTCTCTTATAACATTATTTGAATATGGCATAATTATATGCAGAAAAAGGTAAAATTAATGTAATTACTCAGAAGTAATTCAACATCACCAACAATGCGATTACGCATTCATTTTTAGGAACGTGATGAGAATGAGACACAGAAAGATGTACATAGCTGAATTGATGATTCCACTACAACTTGCATTTTCGCTATTATTATTACAATAGCAATAATAAATGGGAAGATGCACTGCCATATGTTATTATTAATTCTTTATCTGCTCTGCAGGTGGTCGGCTTCCTGTTGGTAGGTGTGGAGTTCACTTTAATATGCTCATATTTATTTCAATGTATTTTGTTGGGGTTTTTTTTATATTATTTTTTACATGTTTTGTATTTAGTAAAGTTTGTATTGAAGCTAAACGAAATAAAATGAAAATAAAATTTAATAAAAGATTTAAAGGTTTAAAAATAGGCTTGTGTCTCCTTTGTAAATATAGTGAAGGAGGCTTACAGCTTATAGATTAATAGGCAGATGGTCTTTAGAAATGGACACGGAATGGACATGTGGAGAGGGAAAACATGAGGAGAGAGGAAGAAGGAGAGGGAGCATAAAGGGTTGAGATTTTTGTTGAAAAGAAGGAATGGAAAATATGAAGAAGAATTAGTGGAAAACGAGGCAAGTGGGAGAACAGAAGGAAGGTATACAGAAGGAAATGGATGGAGGTGAAACAGAGAAGAAAAAAACAAAAGAGTCAGACTAGTGTTAGAAATTTTTGCAGAGCTCCACAAGCGTTTGGTTATATTGAGGAACTTTCTATGTTGTAGAAAACCCCCCCAAAAAACAGTATGAAACACCATGCAAGTAAGTAATATGGAACGCCACTGGTGCCAAAATCAATTTATTTTTAATAGTTTTCACTGATTAAGACAAAATTAAGGGACTGCAATCCAGTCTAACGAAGAAAGGGAGAAAGGATGACAGAGGTATAAAGGCAAGAAGTAAGAGAAAAGCAAAGAAAAGGATGGAGAGATGAAGAAGGAATGAGAGAGTGAGGGAGAAACAAAATCCTTTATTAGTATGTTAAGTAAATATAATGTAATAACCAGCTTATAATTGATATTTTATGTTGTGATTTTAATATATATTTTAATAATTGTACTTATAATAGACAAAACAGGACAAATAAAGTTTGTATCTTATCTTATTAATTAGAATGATAATAATAATTACAATAATTAAGATCTGCTTATTACCTCCATAAAAGGATTAGATGTGAGTGTTCTAGTTCCATTGGGTGGAGTTTGAAATGTTATCTCCTGGGCTTCCCCCTTTGCCCACTGGATGTTGTTCACCTTTATCGATTGGTAGATTCGTTTCAGAAGATCCTTCGGGAAGTCCTCTCCATCGTTCATCTTTTCCAAGTTCATCTGGAATGCTTGTAAACTCATCTTTTTACCTATATTCTATTGAAAATAAAACATTTTAAAGATATACACGTTAAGATCACTAGGAAGAAGCCTCCAAGTATTGATAGAAGGTTTGGTAGGCAACTGACCAAGAGAGGTATGGTAGCTGGAACTCCAATCAAGCTACAATAGTAGAAATCCAGATATTATGAGTCTGGTCAATAATTGACAGCTGGGCCCAATATACCAGGCCTTTCCAGAATAGCACCACACATTATTAAGGGAAAAAAAGACAATAACTACAACAAACATGAAAACAAAATAACACCATTCAAAGAATTTTATAAGGCAACCTCATTAGGAAGTTGTATTATAATAATAATATAATTCTTAATTTACACAGCGCCTCATGCTCAATCAATCAACAAGGATTTGTATAGCGCCAATATAAATGGCAGAATGCCATGTTGAGTGGCGCTACGATCACGGCATTACACAAAGTGCCCATAACTACTGAGGTTAATTAACTAAGCTTGTAAGGTTATGCAAAAAAATATAAATAAAAGCAAAAACAAAAAACAATTTAGTGTGTCAAAACATTTAGAATGAGAATGCTCAAACATCATCATACTCTCAAGACCACCTACTGTACTACTTCTACTTCAATAGGAATCTGTTGCTTTCTTGGTGACAAATACCTGATATTTGTCCATATGGTTATGAAATCACATCACCATCACCATAAATGGGCATACCACAGACTTGATAGAGCAGAGCAGAACATAAAGATCACTCAAACCTAGTGAAATACTGTTCATATCTCAGAAAGCATAGTTTATTGGTCGTATCATTTTTTTTTTGTGCAACAAATCCAGAATAATCTTGAAGATGATATAAAATCCTTACTTACTTGTCCATGTAAATCTGTGTTTAATAATAGCATTGCACAAACTAATGTATGCACTGTATCGGACGACTTGAATTTTCCCGGATTACACTCGTTATACCGCCGAGAGAAGTGCGTCAAAATGCGTTCCCTTTCCTGAGTTTCCCCAACTAACGTGATCGCCTTCAAAAAATTCCGAAGAGAAACATCCAGTTTTTCGTTGGTAAAATTAAAATAATTTAGGTACTCTTCCGCTACAATTTGGCTAAAATCATTCCTAGAAAAAAAGAGGAAAATGGGGAAAGCCACGTTGAAGGTGTTTTCACAATGAATTGAATTTCAGTATAAGAAATTTATTGAAGCGGAAATACGATATCAACATTTTTGGTGTATATCTTTTGCAATATAACCTACTGTATGCTCTACTGTACATCCACTGACAATCTACAGTAATTATCATGAAATTATGTCAACGTCTGTGTTATATTTGATTTATTATTATTTAAATATACATCAACTTTCTTCAAAAAAAAGTTTTTTTGGAAACAAAAAATATGTTCGTATAACAGGCTACTACCAGTCAAGTACCAGTTGCTCTTTCTCTCTTTTAAGTCTTTAACTGCCAAGCTTTGTTGTTTTAATAATCAACATTCTAAATGCTTAGAGACTTAAGATGAGTTGTACATGCAATTACATGGATGATTGTGAAAACAAACTATTATAAATTTAACAGATCATCCAGTAATTGGTATTGAATAAATAAGATTATATACAAAATGACCAGATAATCTGTTATAAGTAATTAGGCTGCAAATTGATATTTCAAAAAATGAATTTGGAGAAACACATCAACAGATTAAACTGTTAATATTGTTTATGTTTTGTATTAACCTTTACCTTATTGGCTTAATATACTATCTAAAAAAAAAAAAATAATAATAATTAAAAAAAAATCTAACCTTTTACTAAGATGCTTTGCAACATCTGATCGCTTAAATCCATCTAATAAATAGAGGCGCTTTGCTAGTCTTTTTGCGGACGGTTTATCCAGACCTTTGCCACTACTGTTCATTATAGCATCCTCTAACATTTTCATGTCCAGTGCATCTTCTGAGTCTATCGTTGAACATGAAGCACTCCTTGGTATAACACATTCCTCCTCAGGGAATGGTTCCTGAGTCCCTGAGTTTGATTGCGATATTTCCAGACAGCCAGTGCTATGCGAGAGCCTTAAGGCACCTTGAGGGGTGGGCTTTGTTGGTGATTTCTTCGGCGAACTATGTGGGACTAAGAAATTTGTAGCAGAGTTTGAAGAATTTTCGTGGGGTATAGACATAGTAGGAGATTTCAGAGATGAAATTGGCATCTCTTGATCGTGTTCCTTATGGTTTGACATGCATGCACCATCGAAGGTTTCATCTCCAAAATGAGTCTCTTCGAAAGGCTTCTGCGAGTTGTCTTGTGCACTTATTTCAAAATCATTTACAATCTGGGAATTAAGCATCGAATCCTGATTTAATTCCAAATCGGGATCTTCTGAAATGTCAGCAGCACTGCCATCGGAGGAACCTCCAACCCCAGAATCATGCCTCCTCTCACGTCTAAGCAGCTCCTCAACAGGAACATCATCATTACCATTAATATGTATTACTGGTTCATTAAAAGGAATTTTATTTGAGTTTGTGTCCATTAACGGCACATTTGCGGCACCTGATAAAGACGAGTCTTCCCTGTGAATGAGGGCGCTCGTCACCAGTACTTTGTTACTAGGTGTCAAATCCGATAAACTAGAATCGGTACTACTTGATAGCGGAAAACCGGAAAACTGATCACGTGTTCCATGCGCACACTTACTACTCAAAGGAGTGAAAGAGTCTGTTTCAATTCGTGATTGGCTTCCATTTTCTGATACCATATTCTCATGTTCCATAATCGTTTGATCTATGGTGTTATGTTTATCAGCGAAAGTGAATACAGATGAAGAAGGTGAGCTTAATGACGCTTCTATTCCAGCCTTTTCAAGTTCCTTTCCGCTTGATGTCAGGCGGATGAGGTTCGGTGTTGGACTTGTAGATCCACTTGATTGGGGTGACGATCTATGCTGGTTGAGATCCTTCGTTATGGGTTCCATAAACTTTTCTACTCGTTTTCTTATTTTTGCATCTGCATTAAACAAGATAGTCAAGGTGTGTAGTAAAATAAACTTTATGATTAGATAATAAAGTCTAAATGTGATGTACAATAATATACACATTATATTTTTATAAGTTTATAATATATGTACATTTTACTAATTTTATTCCACATTATATATTTTCATAAAATATATTTGAATAGAAATATATGTATATTAATTATATTATATACTTTTAAGCATTACCATTGTATGACAATATATGTTCTATCTAATCCAATAAATGTTGCTAAAATATTAATCAAGCCTCATAAAAAATGTCTCCATTAAAAACATGGGCCTCAAATATAAGCCAAAAATTTTATCTGATCTGAAACACAATAAGTTCCCCCATTGGTGGGACCTCCACTGATTTGTGTAAATGTTTTCATGAGGTTCCACGGTTCAACATTAGAAAACTCTAAAACAATGCAAACGCTGTTGACAGGCATTAGATCGTCAACAGGTGAATAATCTCCAGTTATACACTATTAAATATACTTTTGATTTTAGACAGAAAACTTGATCAACAGTGAATCACTCGTATCTAGATCAAGGCTGCGCAATGGTCAAGGTTAAACTGTAAGGTAACATACTGGAGCCTAGCACCGCGTAATACAGGTTTTAAAAACCTGGGCAGCCATGGTTCGTCAATGCTTGTCAGAAACTTCCTAGAAATATCTTATTCATGACCTTTACATTGAAGATAATATTTTTTTAAACTACATTTCATGGTGATGATCTAACCATCTGAAGCTTATCATCTGGGACCACCAATGCTTTCTTCAGTGATGAAAGAATCATCAGTTTTTACATAAAGAGTTTGTATATTTGTATCACATATGCCTGTAGCTTTGTAAAGCCCTGCCCAGACTTCATTATTGTATGCCCATATACAGTTACAATATGCCTATATATGGTCATGATGTGATGTCATCATGACCATATTTAGGCATGTCACGTTTTGTCAAATAAAAATTGATAGTCTGGACAGGGCCTTATGGCTTGCTTTCAAATCCCAGGGTTTTAGGTTCAAATCCTGACAAGTAAAGGATTTGTTCTCACAACCAACTACAACACCTCACCCTCATCCTCATAAAGAGACTTAGTTTAAGTAGAGCATCATGTGTTGGTGCTGTGAAGGGATTTCCACATTTAATATCATGGACTTAATACATTTGCTATTTTTAATAATAAATGTTTTTTTACCTTCCTTTACTTTTAGAACCAAGCAGTCAGGAGATTTCATTAAGCATGATACAGCTGAAATGATAGAAAAATATCATTATCAGAAATGATAAAAACATATATCAACAATGAGCAGGAAACTGAATATAAAGAGAAATACATACATTAAGTAAAATATCAACTGGATGATTTCCAGAAAAACGGATATCTTTAATGCATCAGAGTTAGAATTGACCTCTGTTTGACAGGTTGAATACCTACAGGAAGTCAGTTATAACTTGTGTTATGAAGACTTTGAAGTTTTTGATATCTGTGAAGTTGTTCTTGTGAGACAGTATCTGAGTGACAGAAGCTGGTAGCCAACTTACAGTAAACCAACTTTGGATCATGAAATACAGGTCTCCCTCTAATTAAAGACCACCTCCAATTAAAGACCATTTTCTGTAATCTCAAATTAATGAATGTCTTTTATTTCTAATTGTAGAACTGTTTCATCTGTGATAACCAAGTAGCACAATTTGATGTAAACTTATTACGAGCTCCAAACCAAACAAATACTGTATTTAATGTTATCCTAATTAAAGACAAAAGTGCTGAAGACCATAAAAACCCTGGTCCCAAAAGTGGAATTGGAGGGAACATGTATTGTCATTGTAAAATGGTGGTGATGTTATGTTGTTTGATTAAATTAATTTATTAACCAGTGGCTTGTCGTTGCATAATACTATGCTTGTTAACGACTGACTAGTCTAATGCATGAAACTGCAAGAGAAGATCTGATATCATGGGCCGACCTGCATGCGTTCTCAAGGGAATGCACAGCCCGGTGTGTTGCCAGGCCAGGCAATTGGTGGCTAGAGTTGACCACTGGCGCAGCTTGATGTGGCTGGCAGTGAGGGACTTCTGGAGGTGGTCCTTGTGTCTCTTCTTTAGTGCCACTATGCTACGGTTACCAGAAGAGACTTTGCCATACAGTGCGGTCTTGGGCAAGGGATGTCCAGCTCAATGAAGCTGCAACTACAAGAGCATGGCCCCAATTCTGATGACTTAAAAAAAATCACAAAACTATATTCCTTTCATGACAGAAGCCAATAAGCACAACTTATAGTAGTGAAGAGTGTTATCAGAAGATGATGAAAATACAGTACACGATCATCTCATATCTCTACCATCAATAATAAAATTATCAACTTCACTCTATTATTACCATCATCACTAAAATCATAATCTTTAGATTTCCTAACACCAGTATCCTCATATTTCCACTATCATAAATACTGTACCCTCATCATTATAATCACCATCACCCTCATATCTCCATCATCACAAATATCATTACCATCATCTTCATACTGACAATATCACCATTACCATCATCTTCATACTGACAATATCACCATTACCATCATCCTCATACTGACAATATCACCATTACCATCATCCTCATACTGACAATATCACCATTACCATCATCCTCATACTGACAATATCACCATTACCATCATCCTCATACTGACAATATCATCATTACCATCATCCTCATACTTACAATATCACCATTACCATCATTCTCATACTGACAATATCACCATTACCATCATCCTCATACTGACAATATCACCATTACCATCATTCTCATACTGACAATATCACCATTACCATCATCCTCATACTGACAATATCACCATTACCATCATCCTCATACTGACAATATCACCATTACCATCATCCTCATACTGACAATATCACCATTACCATCATCCTCATACCTCTACCATAACTATTATCATCACCTTCAAATATCTATCATCATTACAATTATCCTCATACTTCTACCATTACCATCATCATTATACCAACTATAATCTCCACCATTACCATCACTACCAAAACCACATCTACACAACACTGTAACTCGGCGAGTTGATTGGCCGAGCGGTTAAGTCAGGGCACCGTAACCTTAAGCTACAGCATAATATCGGCACTGGTTCGAACGGCTCATTCGCCAATGGTTCCAGTGGTGGAACAAGTCTCCTCAGATAAGGACTTTAAACCATACAGTAGGCCCAGTGTATGCATATGTCCCTTATGCACTTTAAAAAACCCAATACATCCTTCAAGAAGAGCAGGGGGTTACCCCGGTGTACTGGTCCATTCAGTCCCCTGTTGTTTAATAGATATGCCACCTAGGATAGTGATTATGTTCGCTGATTGGCATATCCTTGGTGCTCGTGCCTAAAGAAATGAAATGAAATGAAAAAAATAACCCACAATCTACATCTTCATCATAATTATCTATCCAACTTCACATTACCATCATCATCTGGCTTAGCATTAGCTTTTTCTCCTCATCATCCTTCTTATAATCATTTCGCTCATCATCGCTATCAATTTAAGGAGTCTCAACATTCATTCAAATAAATTGGACCAGTATAATAGGTTATCAGACTGATGTTCTGGATGTGTCTGACTGATAAACTCATTTCATCTGGTTCCCATGGTTACTAGCAAGGTATACTTAGCTTGTCCTACTTCTAAGCAGTGAGCTAATTTGCATTATGTATAATCGCTATAATACGACTTAAGTTTCTCGTTAAGAACACAATCAATGGTGTACAATGCTGTTAAAATTGTATTTGAATAAATAAACTAGAGGATTACAGTATCATCCATAAAGCTCCTCTTTAAACAAAGAACATTATTTCCAGACAAAATCATGGAAAATGTGATGCAAGTGATTTATCCTATATTATAGACTGGGCATAATTATGGTCAAATCCATTTAGGCATGTGAATTATTCCCACAGACTGGACAATTGGTCCATAGGCTAGACAACTGGTCCCTTGCAAATGCAATGATTCATCCAGAAGAACTTGACAATAAACCCGCATTAAAAATAACAAGGCTAATATGTGGTGATGAAAAATACAAAGAAATTATTCCTTTGCTTTTAATATATACTACTATATTCCCTAAAACTGTTTATTAAAAGAGATAATATAAAATATAGTAACATCCTATAAAATAAAATGCATTATCATATTAATTAAATTAGACGTGAAACTGTATAGTACATCGTAATACAGTTGAATGGTTTTACGAGGATGGCCATGTGGTGGTGCCCACGACAATCAAATAATAACAAACAGGAAATTAATGATAAATGAAAACTGCTATAATATGTGTGGAAGGTTGATTTGGAAGAATATGATATATTTTGAGAAAAAAAATTCAGGAAACTAATGCAATCCAGGACAAAACTATCAGGCAAAAGCAAAACCTGTACCTGGTACAAGCAATGAAGTTTCCTCTTTCCATGATATTTTCCTACAAATTTATTAGACAAGTGGTAATGATTTGTGACTCAATATAATTTGAAAACATGTAAGTACATATATGTATGTAAACATATAGGTCTAACCACAAAGTGAGTCACCCTCATGGAGGTACAAACAATGTATCAATACTGCCAAGATCATTTTGTTGAAAATCAAACACTGAATATGAAGCACTGGTGTACCAAGTACTAAAATAAGGTGGAGGGGTGGGGAGGCAGGCTGATGGAGGTGGAGCAAAGATTACATGGGCAGGGGTCCCAAGCTGGGATCATCATTTCTGGGAGATCTGCAGTGGCTGGTCGAAGGTTGGAGGGGTAGGGGGGACATGGAGAGACTTTTACAGATGTAGGTTCTACCACCTCAGCCCCACCATAGTTGGAGCTTTCTTAACACATTTGAATTTATTTTGCTACACAAAGTTATACCCATCGGCACTGACTTCCATGAGAAAATTGATAATAAAGCAGTGAAAACCTGCAAAATTATGAATTTGCGGAGATGAGTTAATTTTCAGTAGATTCTTGGTTGCTTGCGGGAGTACTGCAGGCCGTCCTGAGTTCCAGGAGACTTGGGACCACTGCATGGGAGAGCTTGATAGTTAAGTAAGGGAGCGCAAACCGGCAAAATAGGGTGATATAAGGTAATTTGTAATTATTTAAGCATAATTATTTTTTGGCAAAAAAAAAAAAAAAAAAAAAAAAAAAAAAAAAATTCTAGTTGGGAGAGTTTGAACTCCCAAATGTACCTCTACATACATGCGATTGGTATGAAATATATTAAAATAGATTAGTATATGCCCAACAACTCCCTGGTATATACTTTAACTTGGTCTTTGAATGAAGTCCAGATATATGGGAACCTTAACTCAAAAGCATTAAAACATATTAAAATCAAAATTTAATTTAAAAAACATTAACTCATTCTGACCTATTTGGCAGTTATCCAAATATTGCATCACCAAAAATGCATCTCATTATGTGGAGTGACCTCACAAATGAGTAACAACTAAAGTATGGTAATCAGCATTGCACAGGCCTGGCAACTAACGTGTTAATCAGTTACTGGCTTCTAATTATGTGGCAACAGCCAAAGTTAATAGTTTCATTGCTTTTCAGTCTGTCACCTACTAGTACCCTTTGATAAAACTACAGTATGTTACTTTCAGATTACTCGTCATTAGTCACTGTTGATTAGAAGATAATGTCAGCTTTATATAACACTTTATACAAACAAGTAATTCTATGCGTCACAAAGACCAGTGTGTCCTCATTCTTTTGCCTCAATGTGCTGTGAAACAACATGGCAAATTGCTAGAATCTCTACTTTAAAAAAAAACCATATTTTTAGAGGGTGACCCTTCCAGCGTATCCTATGTCAGCTGTTATTCCCCCCAATTAACATGATGCTATTATCAACAAAGTCTCTGTATGAGGCTTAGGGAGTGGAATTGTTTTTAGTTGTGAGAAAAAGTCCTGCTATCACAGGATTTGAACCCAGGCCCCCTGGTAATAAAAGGCAAGCATCTTAACCACTACGCTATTCAACTCTACTAAAATCACTTTTTTTTTTTGTTATCAACGACAAGTCATGTCCGATGAGACATGTCCAAGTCAAGTCCAAAGACTCATGTTTAACAGGTGGGGCTTAATAATAATAATAATTCTGGATTTATATAGCGCCTCACGTTGACAAAACCTCGAGGCGCTTAACAACAACAGAAAAGGAAACCAAAAAAC